TAACACATATTCAAATCCCCCCTGGCATTTGGGCCTAAATTCAACATCTGAATTCAAGGCCCTACTACACATACCCCCTATTTTAATAGTCCAACTTAATTTACACCCTCTGCGCTTTTTTAATTTCTTTTATATATATATATATATATATATATATATATATATATATATATATATATATATATATATATATATATATATATTAATTTTTATTATTATAAACTCAAATATTATTTTTCAACTCGTCTAAATATTTATTTATTTATTGCATTAAAATTATTTTTTTATCATGCATTAATAAGATATTTTATAATTAATACATTAAAAAAATATTCAACCAACAACAAGCTATTTTTATTAAATCAATTAACTCAACAATCAAATTTCAAAAAGGATTACGAAAGTATTTTAGTCGATTGCGCACTTCTTCTAACAAACTCCGCTGTTCACACACCTAGACTAAGTACAAGGGTAATTCAAATATCTTCGTAATCAATAAAAAACACCAACCAACTGTGAACTTTGAATTAGGACTCTGATTTCTCATAAGAGGATACGTAGGGGTACGACTAAAATCGTGGTGAGTTACCCTAATAAAAATTAAAACCCTATTTCCTAAGTCGTAATTCTATACCCTTGTATCCTTGCGAACAAAGTAGATGAGGGGTGCCTAACACCTTCCATTCGTCTAAGAACGAGTCCAACAACCTAGAATCTTTGACTAAATTAAGATTATCCTTTATATTCCCTTCCTAAAGAGGAAAATTGAGGGCGACGACTCTCATTTTAAAACCGGTTACAACACCCATCCACGCGATGACACTTCCTAGCCGAAGTCCCCTGCTTAGGATAAGATTGTTCACCAACGGGGGTAGAAGAGAAGGTCCCCGGCCCAGTCTGGGGAGGAAGCAGAGCACTATCTAGACAACTCTTCTTAATCTAAGTTTTCTTCAGCTGCTTCACATTGTTGATTGTGGCCATCCTGATCATGCGCTCTTAAATATTCGACATTTCACTTGTAAGAAGCAACGAGCACGAATCAGTATAACGAGGAAGACAAACACAAACAAATCAACAAGAAAAATGGATACCTAAGAGTGCTAGAGCATATACGAGGGTATCATACTCGAGGAGCCCTTTCGTGTTAATAAGTCGGGGTTCAAACACTGGCTCCCCGTGTCGATTAACTATAATGTCCCCCCTATTTGTTAAGCACTAAGCAGGGGTAAGACCTCCAAAAAAATGAACCAGCTTATTGTAAATGGCCTTGTCGTCAGCTCCCAGCTAGCCCAACTTGACAATATAATAACCAGTACCCTGATCAAAATGACTGTGACCCCAACTAAAGAGAAACTTCTGGACCAACATCTTCTTTTCCTTGTCACGTTCGTTGAGTAGGGGATTCCCATCATCCCAAAACATGGTTTCTCGGTAAAAAAATAGAGGTAATGGTCATCTTCGACACTGGCCGAACTAAGAAATACCTGTCTTTGAACGTCCGGACAGACTGTAGGAACACCTTGAACAACCTCCTCGGTTGCTTCAAGGAAACCCAACCATACTTCCCCTCTGATTTTTGGCACTGTATATGGAAGTAGTAAAAGAACAATGGGATCATGGCTCCAATATGAAGATACTGACACACGATCTTAAATGCTCGAAGAAAGGCTATCGAGTTAGGGTGCAATTTGGGAAGGCGCTAGGTCCAGATGATCGAAGACGACCATCTGAAGGTCTCTGAAGTGTCGTTGGAGCCCTAATTCCATAAAGAAAAACTCGTACACGAGGAACTCGTCATCATCAAAGGCTAGGAAGATCTACTCATCTCTTGAGGAGAAGTGGAATGCCTAGTCCGCCTCGGGCTCTGGCGGGTCCGCTACCTCTTCAACAATAATGAACGCTTCATTGGGGAAATAAAAAAAATAAGAAGTTATTTCCCTGGGTTCCTGAGCTACCCATTTCTCCTAGGAAATTTCTTCTGCATTGTACAAGTGTTCTTCCTCAGCATTATTAGCCATCTTTTACCTAAAAAGTAGGGGACAAAAGTGAATTCGACCATAAAATCAAATCCATCCTTACACCGTTGATCAAGTGAAAGGGCATAAAAAGGCATGAGGACGTTACCCTCGGCCAGAGCCCTTATTCAACAGCAAAGCAAACAAAGGAATTTTATCTGACGAGGAGATCTAACCTCCTCGACTGAAAAACCCTTGGGCTCCTCCAGGGAAGAAGCTCCCCGGCGAGTGAGTTTTAAACCTCACATGAAGCTCATCGCAAAACCCATAGGATTCGCCGGAAAACTCACGCAAACCCAGAAAATGGTGGAAACCACCAGGAAAGTCATGAGTATCACCAATAACATGCTCGTTCTGTGCCATGACAAAGGTGTTAGAACTTCCCAAAACGCAAAAATCCTAACTTAACACTACGCATTCCCTCAACGCCAGCATTAGAAGATAGCTTAGCCACCATCAAATGTCGTCCACCACCGTGATAGTGCTTATACTAACAAAGTTTGCCTATCAACACACATCTCTAAAAGATAAAGATAAATGTAAAGTTAGAAAGAGGAAGTTTACTTGAAATGAGACTGAACGGCGGATGAAGGCGGTTCTGATACGATGGTCAACGGCGACGATGATGAATAGAGTATTGAGAGTAGGCGAGAATAAGAAGATGCAAAAACTAAAAATGAGTTTCCTCTCCTCCTATTTATAGACTCGGCTCTGCGTCACAGGCACATGTGCAGAGGCTTAGGGAAGCGAATAATCAACATTACACCCTAACCCCTAACCATCATTTTGCATTTAATGTGACATGTGGCTCTAGGAAGGCGTGACACGCCACCTCTTTTAAAATTCCACTAGTTTTTCGACTCCCTGCACGTCGAGCACAAAATACGACGATTTCTCATACGAGCACATCCTCTAAATAATCACAAATATTTCTGTCTCAAAAATAGGCACCAACAGCGAGTACTCCTCCTCGACACACGTCTTAAGTCATCTCTTCTATGACTAGAAACAACAACTTAGGGGGTTCATATTTTGGACTGGGCCGTCGAATAGACATGGCCTAATCCACTCTCCAGAATGATCCAAAAACATTGGCCCAATCAGCCTAGGACCATCGAAGGGCATGTTTCCCATCTTCACGACAGCTCCAGACCCGTGGTCGTGTGAACCTAAAGACAACAAGACCACGCCTACCTGTGACTGTGACCCTGCTCATGACAATGACTAGTTCCTGACACATCTTCCTGTTACAACGACTAGTTTCTGGAACCATTCCCAAGATAATGAGCACTAGCTTCCCATTCTGGATTTCACGCAAAAATCTTGGTAGTTATATATTTTTGGGGGCCTTATATTCAGGCCCAAAAATAGGAACCAATGGCCAAGCGCCGGGACATTATATAAACCCTCACACTTGTGAGAGTTAGGTATCCAATATTCAACTCTAAAACCTTATATTCTCTCTTGTATTTTTTTGCACCCTTACTTACTTAAGCATCAGAGTGCCTTGTAGGTAAACCCCCTCCCCCTTCATTCCAGCATTGCAAAAATAGATATCGGCCCATTACAGATTCTGATAACTGGTAAGATCACTAAGCCTTGTATACAAAATCCATGTCTCAATTGTGAGACTTAAGCCTCCTTATATAACAATTTCTTTTGGACTTTTCTCCTTTGGATATTTGATTTGATTTTAGTCTAGAAAATATATGATTCTGTTGGATATGATCTTCTCCATAAATGTCTCCAACAATAAGATATGATTTGTTATATTTCAAATTTAAGTTTGAGTTGAACATCTCTAGTTTTCAAACAAATCAAATAAACATTGCTTAAATAATTGCAACAAATCTGATTAAATCCCGATCAGAAATTGCGCTACAAACAACATACATATGGCATGCTGACAATGCAGATGCTACACTGCACATGCTGGAACACCGAGTTCCATATGTTGCACTAGAACATCTAAATTAAGTATTTATCATGAATCTGTAGATCTTCTTTGTAGAGTGAAACTTAGATAGAATAAATCTGAACCAAAACTACAATAACATCATTCTGTTATAAAAGATCAGATGTTGCAACACAAATGTTGGAACATCGGGTTTCATATGTGTCTCTTCCGCATCACAACAAACATGAACAAAATCCATGTTCTTTGGCATAATGCATCCAATTCAAAAGGAACATCACTTATTTTTTAATCTAGTAGAAGGAAAATAATTAGAATTTTGTTTTTAAATTTCCTATTACTTTTAATCTAGTAGAAGGAAATAATTGGAAGATAATCTTATATAAGGAAGTAATAGTTTCAAGAGACTCCATCTCTATCACTGGAAAGCATAAGAATCAGAGATCTGAAAATTCAAGGAATCTAAGTTGAAATAATGCTTGATTGGATCAATGTGATGGATCTTGAAGTTAGATTCTGAAAGCTCTTGATTCGGTAATCTTAAGGTTACGAAATTGACTATACAGGGTGGAAGATTTGGCTAAGTAGGAAGAACATTTGTGGGGAAAGTTAACCCCAAAAAGGTGGTGGAAGATATAAAATTCTTTTTGTTGGAACTGCATCATGAGATTGAAAATAAAATTTTTGGCTTGGAATTTCTTTGGCTGGTCAGTAAATGCCACAATCTTTTTAGAAAGCTTGTGAGATCTTGATGAGAGCCTTCATGTGTTATTTTCATCTGCAAGAAATTAAGATACAGCCTGACGTGGATCTGGTTTATCGCCTCTCAAATCTGTTTTTTCGATCATTTTAAGATTGCATGGTAACGCACAAAGTTTACAATAACCTTTAAATATCAACTTCAATAAAGGTTGTAGTAATATATAGAAACAACCAAAATATTTAAAAGCAACAATTTCAATGCTTGCTTAAGCTTACCTCTCGTTTCTACTTTCAAATCAACAATGAATGAAAGCCTCATAAGGGGTCTCATCAATCAAAAGAAGAAACTAAAACTATTAATTAATTTACTATTTTCTAAACATATTTGACATGATAAGAATAATCTGAGCAACTTGATCAACAACAGCGACATTTTTTGATAACTCTGGATTATTTTGAGTCGATGAATCTTCTGAATCTCCTGAAAGACATTCATCAACATTGGTCTGAACAATACTCATATGTAAGTTCATACCATTGTAATCGGAATTCTTCAACATTTGTAGAACCTCCTCAATTTCACCAAGAGCACCCTCCTCCATTCCAAAGAGAGACAAACAATTCTTGTACTGTGTTTGTTTCATGGGATCGCTACCACTTTCTTCTATTAATTTTGTGATTAGGGTGATTGTATTTGACACATCGGTGCGAAGTACTTCAATGGTGTATTGTGCTAGACTACCAAGGTCTCCACCTACACCACCAGGCTTTGATTTAAGAAGATTGTCACAAAAAGAAGGATTTTTTGATTTCTTGCAAATAGCTTCTACATCCACTTTATTGGTTGCAAGGGATGATGTAAAACAAAAAAGAAACAAAACAACTAAGATTGCAAAACGAATCATTTTTTTCTTCTCAAATCTCTTATCTTTTGCTGATTTATTTTGTTTCTCTCCTTAGTAGTACTATGTAGATTTCACCAATTGAAAACAACACAATAAAATAAAACATGGTCAAAGCACAAATATTATTTTATGGCAAATTTGACATTTGTCAACTCTTGAGAGTTCATGCTATTTTAAAATTACTATTTAAATAATTGTTTCCTTAATTAGATTTTCTTTATTTAAATTAGCATTTTAAATTTTATATTTAAAAATTAAATTTAGTTTTTTACTAGCTAAATATAATGAATGAATTCTTTATTATTTTTTATAATGTCTTTTTTTCTTCTTTATCTCCAAGTCACCGATTCTTTTGATCTTATAAAAAAAATTTTGATTGATGTGTGAACCTAGAGCAATTTATTGGAACAAAAGGTTTTTAAGAAAAATGATTGATAAAAGAAGAAGAAGAAGGAAAGAAAAGAGAGAGATTTGGTAGTTTGTTGTGATTTCTAAATGAATTTTGAAGATTTGTTATTGATTACTTATTGATTACAAACTCAGCAGCCATTTATATAGGCATACAATGCTCAGGCCCAATTCGGCAATACATGCTATAGCCCAAAAACATGATTTCGAGACACTACAAAAGTTGTTGTATTCGACTATGTCGAATACAACTTACAACCTATCAACACTAGTTATTCGACATACACCATATGTCCTTCGACAATTTGACTAAACAAGAATTATACTTTCTAACACACCCCTTAATTCATGTTCTCGAGACTTCTCATCCCGATGCTTCTCTTTAACTCGTCGAATCTGAATTTCTCCAGAGGTTTGGTAAACATGTCAACTAGTTGCACTTCTGTCTTGCAATGTTTTATCTCCAGCTTCCCTTTGTTGACTTGTTCCCTAAAAAAAGATACCTCTTTTCTATGTGCTTACTTCGACCATGACACACTGGACGATTCACCATGTTAATAGATGACTTGTTATCGACAAATAGCTTCATCTTCTTAGGTTACATTATCTTGAGTTCTTCAAGTAAAATTTTGATCCATGCTGCTTGGCATGCAACATATGATGCAACCACATATTCTACTTCGCATGATGAAAACACCATAATACTTTGCTTCCTCGAGCTGTAAGAGATTAGAGCACCTTCGATCCTGAAAATGTAGCTTGCAATGTTTTTCTTTTCGTCTTAATCTCCACTGAAATCTGTGTCACTGTATCCATGAACTTTGACATCTGTGTTATTTTTCGACTTCTTTGGCAACAACACACCATGATCAATTGTTCCCTTTATTATCTCAACACCATCATTACTGCAATGAGATGACACTCTTGAGGTTTCTCCATAAATCGACTCAATAATCTGACACTTTGACATATATTGGGTCTAGTATTATAAAGATATCTCTAGGATCCAACGATTTGTTTGTATAAGGTCGAACTTACAAACTCATCATTCGTTTCATTTTAAACTTTGCTCCAGTTTATAATGGAGTGATAGCGGCATTACAATTGCTCATGTTAAAACTCTTCAGTATATCTTGGGCATACTTCGTCTAATGCAAGAATACTCCTTCTTTAGTATCTTTGAATTCCATCCCTAGGAAATATGAAAGATTCCCTAAGTCGGACATTTCAAATTCCTGCATTAGTTTTGACTTTACATTCATTATCTCAGCTTTGTTTGCTCTAGTAATGAGTATGTCATCAATATAAAGGCATAAAATGATTCAACTATCACTTTTGACATCATTTACATACACTTCATGTTCAGAAACACACTTTATGAAACTTGCTTTGATAAAAAAGCTATCTATTCTTTTATTCCAAGCTCTAGGGGCTTGTTTCAAACCATATAGAGCTTTCCTTAACCTATAAACCATCAAATCATGCCCTTTAATATTGAATCCTGGTGGTTGAGTAACATAGACCGCTTCTTCTAAAGGAACATTCAAAAATACTGACTTTACATCCAACTGATGTATCTTTCATCCTCTATATGTTGCTATCGAAACAAATTTTTTGATTGTTTCTAGCCTCGTAACAGGCGCATAGACTTTGTCAAAGTCGATACCATATTTTTATAGAAAACCTCTTGCCACCAGTCTTGCTTTATACTTCGCGATCTCACCATTTGGCCTTTGTTTCACCTTGTAGATCCACTTTACACTTATAAGTTCTTTCGACAAGCTCTCAGGTCTTGTTCTTATCAATAACTCTGAGTTCTTCTTTTATGGATTCACATCAATTTGAATTACTCATGGCTTTATTCAAGTCAATTGGTTTTGCTTCATCCATAATCATGTCTTCTTCGATTAAATCACCATCTGCATCAATTGCTTGATCTGGAAATCTTTAATATCCAGCTAACCTTGTCGACTCAGTTCTTGTTCTTATTGACCTTCTTTTATTCTGCGCAGGCGGTTCTTCAATTTTACTTGTTGAAGCATCACCTTGTTCATTTCGACTCGTTGAAGCCTCATTTTGTTGATCTTCTTTGAACACAGTTGTGATTGTGTCTGATTCTTGTCGAACCGAACCTTGACTCTAGTCTGACACTTTGCTTTTGTCCACAATAACATCTCGATTGATAACTAGTTTATCTTTGTTTTGCAAATACGACTTGTATGCACCCGTCGAATGATAACCTATAAACACCATTATCTCACTTCGATCATCTAGCTTCTTTCTCAATTGTTCAGGTACATGCCTGAAGCACATTGATTCAAAAACTCTAAGATGACTCACATTTGGCTTCGAGCTTGTCCAAGCCTCATAAGGTGTTTTTCCGACCATCTTCTTTGTTAGAAACCTGTTTAGAATGTATATTTCTATCGAAGTTACTTCAGCGTAAAATCTCTTTGGCATATCTTTAGCATTCAACATACTTCTTGTCATGTTCAGTATACTTGTATTATTTCTCTCAGCTATGCCATTATGCTAAGGTGTATAAGGTGCAATAACCTCATTCTCTATACCTTCCTCATTGCAAAATCTAGCAAATTTATCAAAAGTATATTCACCACCTCCATCAGTTATCAACTTCTTCAATTTGCATCCACTTTGTTTTTCAGCATGCAACTTGAACTTCTTAAATTGTGTGAATACCTCACTCTTCCATTCAATAAGGTAAATCCACATATGTCTGGTTGATTGATCAATGAAAGTAAGGAAATACTTTTTACCTCCATTTGACTTTACTTCAAAAGGTCCACACACATCAGAATGTACCAGCTCCAATTTTAGCTTTGATTTCATGGGCAAGTCAGGTTTGAATTCCTTCCTCACTTGCTTTGTTTTGCAATATTCCTCACACACCTGATTTGTTTCCTTCACATAAGGCAATCCAAACACTATCCTTTTCTGATTGAGCAAGCATAAACTTCTAAAGTTTAGATGTCCATACCCGTGGTATCATAGCCAGTTCTTGTCTTCTTCTGTAGTTGAAGCAAGACATTTATGATCTGATGTTTTGAGTTCAACTTTGAATGTTTTATTTTCTGCTAATGGTTCTTTCATTATTAGCCTCCCATCAGCCCTATATATCTTCATCTAATTCTTCTCCAGCTTCATATTGAAACCTTTTGCAAGTAATTGACCTACACTTATCAAGTTACTTGTAATAGAAGGTACATACAACACTTCAGTGATAATGTCTTTTCGACCATCCTTCCTGCCAATCGAAACACCTCCTTTACCACTTGATTTGATGTGCCTCCCATCTACAAACTTTATCACTTTTCTACTGACTTATCTAAATCGGTAAACTAATTTTTATTGTCAGTCATATGGTTGCGGCATCCTGAATCAAAATACCATATGTTGTTTTTTTCAGTGTTCGACTGAGTGTTCACCATTAACATCACATCATCAGAATCACTATCTCCATCTTATGCATATTGAACTTCATCACTATTTTTCACACTTTCTGCTTTCTTTCTTCGACAGTATCGAGCATAGTGACCAAAACCTTGACAATTGTAACACTGCACCTCTTACGTGTCAAATATCTTCCCATAATACATGTTGCCCACACCTTTATTGATCAAATCAGTCTTCTTGCTTGACTTTTTATCACTAGAAGATTCTTTCGCTGCTTCGACTTCTCTTTTATAGCTTTCTTGCTGAATCTTGATTGAAATGCATGTTCAGCCACCTTCTCTTTTTCCGAGTTTCTCTGCTTCAACCTCATCTCATGAGTCTCTAATGAAGCCTGGGGTTCTTCTAACTTCATCTCAGATAGAGTCTTATCCTCTTCAATTGTCACAACAATGTAGTTAAAATATGTAGTTAAATATCTTAACACTTTCTCAATATTTTACAGATCTGTAACCGATTCACCACATGCATTTAGCTGGTTTGTTAGCGTCACAATTCTTGAGAAATATGCAGAAATTGATTCATCTTCTTTCATTTGAATCATCTCGTATTGCTTCCTTAGTGTCTTCAACTTTACCTTCTTCAATTTCTCATCTCCATCATACAAGTTCTTTAACTTGACCTAGGCTCCTTTTGTCGTTTCTTCTTTAATTATCTTGTGAAATACATCAAAATCCACACACTGGTGAATCAAGAACAATTCTTTACCATCTTTCTTTCTCTGATCTTTGTGTGCAGTTTTCTGAGCCTATGTCGCATTTGCTTATATATCTAGTAATCCACCATTCAAGATTTCAACAACATCTTGAAATATGAAAATAACCTTCATCTGCGTAACCTAACATTGATAGTTTTCTCCTTTGAAAACCGGTAGATTTTTTGGAAACTACGTTGACGTTGTTGTTCTGTTTGCCATTAGATTCTCTCTGAATCGCAACCGAGATCTGTTATACCAACTTGTTGGAACAAAGGGTGAAACAACTGGCAGAATAATCATAGAGAGAAAATCAATGAAGTCACCATCGAACATTTTTATCCCACAAGAAGGTAAAGGTAAACATCGATTAAGCCAGAGGAGGGTGAAATCACGATCAAACGACCGAGAGATATGGTGTGATATG